TAACAGTGCCATTAATATCTTACTACTATTCTGTGACTAGTTAGTGATACGAAGTAGTATAATATACATATTTAAATTCTGAATTTCAATTCCCGAACAGAACAGCTCTTAACGAATTTAAACTTTTTTAAATAATAAGGTATTCTATTCCGTCAGGCTAATTTTGTAATTCGGTTTTACTTTAAATTAATACAATGACATGGTTAGCACTGGATAAAACTATTAGATAATTTTGATGCTTGTTCCTAGAAGAATTTTCTATAGAAATGAATGCTGTTGCCATAAAACCTTCAAGCTGAAATATTTTGTTGAGATAGTTGACGTTGCAAATATACTCAATCTTTTAAAAAAAAACTTTATGCTACCAGCAAAGCGCGTTCTTTTTCCACGGTACCTTGTATAAATCTTAAGGTATCAATAATTATAGTATAATTCCAATCATAGTGTGAACTCTAGTATTGGTTATAGTATAAAAGAAATGTCCGAACACCGACCTGTTGTCATGCAGCTCGGTCGTCTTTACACACAAGAGCCAGTCGCGAGGACCATGGTGGATGGGCAGAAACCGAACAGCAAGCTGGCAGAAGACTTCCCGCCAATCCTCCGTTACAGCTCGGATTTGGTTGCGTCATCTACAGCAGGACGTCATATCTCGTCTAGAGAAAGCCCGAAATACAAGGTGAGAAAATTATTTAGAAGGACTCTCACCAACCATACTGGCGACTAGCTAAGACCATCAAAACGGAAACTTTCGCCAGTATGCCTTCCCTCGTATTCCCCTAAGACCAACCCCCGGTTTTGATGACGATGAAAAGGCAGAACTGGCCGATGCACTGCAACCAGTGCTCAAACCGCGGTCCCTGAACACACCCAGTTAGTCGACAGTGAGGTCGAGCGCAGAGCTTCCCAGCCGCCCTCAGACGCGTTACCCCCATTACCATTGACGAAGTAAAGGAAGAAACAGCGAAGTTACAACCACGGAAAGCGCCGGGCTCCGACGGAATCTATAAACGCATATTAAAAATTTTACCCGCCGAACTAATAATCATGTTGGCCTCTATTTTAAACGCCGCTATGACGAACTGCATCTTTCCCGCAGTGTGGAGAGAAGTGAACTTTATCGGCATACACAAACCTGGAAAACCTAAAATCGAACCCATAAGCTACCGCCCGATTAGCCTCCTCCCAGCCACAGGCAAGCTGTATGAACGACTGATTCGTAAACGCCTCTGGGACTTTATCACCTCAAAAGGCATCCTCATAAATGAACAGCTCGGATTCCGCGTCAGCATTCGTGCATCCAACAAGTGCACCGCTTCAAGGAGCACATCTTAATAGTACTCGTGGGCTCGCTCACCAGCCATGATTTAGCAAGAATAGCCCCTCGAGGCTACTGGCAGTTAGAAAAGCTTGGATAAATTAGGTGTGACGCGATTTGAATAAATTAAATTATATAATTGGGTAAATTAGGATAATGATACGATCAGATTTACAGAACAATGAGGTTTGATTACTACTGGACATTAAAATGCTCATATTTAAATACGGTTAATTCTTGAGGAAATTGACATATGAATGTCATTTACGAATTAGTAAGTTTACATTGAGATTACAGTACTTTCTAGTTGTTTATAACATAATTAGTACAATGAATGTAAAATGCTTAAACCAACACCGCAACGACACAATATTGAAAAATTGAATTAAAATATGCTTAAAACTTTTCTCTATTGAATATTAATAAGGTAAAACCAATTTACAAAAATCCCATTATTAGGAAAAGATTACTTGGTCATAAAATTAAACAGTCTGCCCGAAAATGTTGAGGTAAGAAATTGCGGTAATTCCTAATTACATTAGAACAAATTAATGTTTTCTATAGGGAATTAAATCGAAGATATTTTATTTTTCATTTCTTTAAGACGGATATTTATTAATATAGTTCTTTTTTTTACTACCTAATCGTAAGTAGCCTAAAGGGCTATTCCAACTTCACGTGGACCGGTAGGTGAGCTCACGAGCTCAACCTGAGACAATTACTAACACTAGCCCTAGCAAGAGCAGTGCTTCGTTGAATCTACTTCCGGATCGGAATTGCGACCCACTGAGAAGATTCGGCGAGAAACTGAGTGGGTTGTGTCTATGGGCTAATTCGCACGTCGAACTCTTCGTGGGAGTCAACGTGACGGTGCTTGAAGAGCTTAAAAGCACCGAGAATGGATCCAGGGGATTCGACAAGAAGTCTTTTGGGCGACGGCGGCTTTGGTTTGCCCCATCGCCTGTGTAGGTACCTTATAGGACCACCCTGCCTATTTCTGCCGTGAAGCAGTAATGCGTTTCGTTTACCTTACCTTAGAACTTATATCTCAAGGTGGATGGCGCATTTACGTTGTAGATTTCTATGTGCTCCAGTAGCCATTTAACACCAGGTAGGCTGTGAGCTTGTCCACCAATCTAAGCAATAAAAATAAAAATAAAGTTTAGCAGTAGGTACATTTGTCTACTGTATAGGTTGTGTATCATATTGTTCACTGTAGCAGTTGCTATCATAGAATAAATGAAAGCAGACAAAATCCTGATTCACACTATGAACATTTTAGAAGTAGGTATTAGTAGAAGGTAGGCAAATATACAAATTTAGAACAACAACTACGGACTGTTGGTCTATCGAGCTAAAATCTTCAACTTTTTTCATTTACCTCAAAACACCACACCAAACGATCAACATTACAGTAATCGGTTATATCTTCGATAATAATAGGTTCCAATTATTGAGTTCTTAACTCAGGCTAACCCGACCTAAAAGCTAAGCTTATTAGATAGGTATTGCTAGGCGAATTATGCGTTATTTACGTTAGACGTTACACTTTCGTAACTGTCAATCAACAAACTGCTTTAAAGAAAACTTTCCATTCATCACATTCACCTTTATGACAGAATATATATATCACGGCATTAAACTACATATTTTTTTTGCCATAAATGTCGAATAACCAGAAGCCCATTTATTATATGAAACCGTTCACACATTTTGTTTACGCTAGCAAGACTCACCGGGCTTGGCAAGCAAAAGTTTTGAAATGGCAAAAATTACCTGAAATATTTATTTGGAGCGCCTAAGTATTACCATTTTATACTTTTAAAATCAGGAATTTGCATAGAACATTTTTATATTTAATAACGGATCCTCTCTTGTTGTGCCCTTGATATTAGTTTTTTTTTTAATTAGATAGAAACGATACAAACAACTTTAACTACAAGAACATTCAAACTTATCATAATTCCTTATTTTTTTAAATCTTATTGGTTATAATGAGTAGACGTCTAGCTTTTCTATCTCAAGAACAGGTCGCTCGCGATGGTATGGCACTGCCCGAGATAAAAATTTTTTTTTTTTTTTTTTTTTTTTTTTTTTATTGCTTAGATGGATGGACGAGCTCACAGCCCACCTGGTGTTAAGTGGTTACTGGAGCCCATAGACATCTACAACGCAAATGCGCCACCCACCTCGAGATATAAGTTCTAAGATCTCAAGTATAGTTACAACGGCTACCCCACCCTTCGAACCGAAACGCATTACTGCTTCACGGCGGAAATAGGCGGGGTGGTGGTACCTACCCGTGCGGACTCCCAAGAGGTCCTACCACCAGTGACTCCCAAGAGGTCCTACCACCAGTGGTGTTTGTTAAATAATACTAACGTCTGGGTCAGAACTTTTTTTTGGTTTATTAAAATCATAGTACTTGGGAAAACGTTTTTAGCAGAGTACTTAAATCTTTAAGTCTGAAAGTAGTGTAAAGTTTAAGTATACTGCGAACTTCTACCCGTAAGAAAGGCAATCCATAAAAAACTAGATTTAGCTAGATATACCGGTTTTAGACTAAGTTAAAGTTTTTAGAAGGTAAAATGTTGTTCTGTTATAGCCAGAATCCATTTACTTAGTCTCCTACTGCTGCCATCTAGTTTAGATACGAAGTATTAAAATAAATCAAGAAAAAGTGATTAAAACGATTTGAAACGATTCTTGATATTCATTTATGCCGGTCAAATTACACTATTATTATAATATAGTATGCTGTATGTACTATAAGCGCTTAGGTTAAACTTACACTTGTGTGAACCTATGTTAACGCTTCTTATTTTCACAAAGGTCATCACTTTCCAATCTCTGTATACATAATTTACCTTTAACCACATGGATCAAATTTACAAGAGAATTATTGATGAGATGCCGACTTGTTGCTATAATTCATTATTATCTAGGATCAACGGAATAAATGAATATTTTATATTTTATAGTTTGGGTAGGTTTATCTAGTACTGATGAAATTACTGATCAATGTTAACATACAATACTGATTACCTTCTGGGGTACCGAAACCTAGACTGCGAGGCATCGCGAGCTTATACCCTCCCCTAGGCTCTTCGAGAAAGCGGCGCGGCACGTTAACTCTCTTGAATTGATCGCCTTTAACTGTATCTCCGACCCAGAGGACGGAAAGTCCCTTTGGCTATTTCAGCTACTATATGCATACACACGTAAAATACCACTAATCAGTTAGGAAAAAAGTGCCCGAGAAATACGTTCCTCACCCGTGAGTTTGAAAGCCTGGTTCTTTCCTCATGGAGTTACACTTGTGTAAGGTGCGGGCAAAATAGCTTTACAAGTTGTTTTTTTGGGTCTCTCTCGCTTTTCACAATAGTCACAAGGACCTAAAAATATCTGGTGTTATGGGCAAGTTTCCCTTTGCATTTTCAGATAAACAATTGAGTACATAAATTTATGTTAAATACCCATTGGATCTTTTAAATATTTAACTACAAGTCGACTACGGCATTTTTATTTGGGCGAGAAAACATTTGAATCCCATGGCACCGTTAATAGAGCTTATATTTGTGTTGGCATTGACATCACTATCACATGTCAAAGTAACGAGACACAAAGAGACATCTTTGCTAAAGTTTGCTGTGTATAGTCTGTATTCTGAAGTATCTGGAGTTTTAAATTTTGCCAGCTGGGCGGTTCCAATATTTATTTTATTTATGAAAAGAAAATAATTGTTTTACGAATTAATATCGGAGTCTCAGTTCCCGGAAGCTGTGAAGAATCAAATTATTTAATAAATTTAGTGTTATTCTGATACGTAAGTAAAATTAAATTTAAACTACGTGGTAATCTGTTACATGTCGATTGAAATCAATACCAAGCTGTTGCGAAAGTAATATTGTAAATTAGTACATTAACCTTACAGTTCTACTGAGTGTTCGCCGGAAAAGTCGAGCATAAAAAATGCATTGTAGGAATTGTAGGTATGATAAATCATTTAAACAACCCTCTAAATTTGTAGTCAGTGAGTTCTTATGTCTGATTTCTATAAAGATCAAGTAAATATTTACCATGACAACAATGATGAATATTAACAAAATTCTCAAAATAAAAGTAGACAGTATATTTAAAACACTTTTTTCCTGATATAATTTTTTTGAACCAAATTTTCACTCACAACTAATTCCTTTATTAAACGATAAAACTAAAACAAACAAAAGCTTTGAGTAACAAGTCTCAAAAGCTTACCTAATTACCTAAAGACACAATTTTTCCAAATGTTTTTTAAACAGAATGAAACTAGTCTAAGTAACAATTTTGCAGGCATACTTGTTGCTACACATCAGATAAAAATTTAATTTCTTTAATGTTTCTTCCTAACTCTTGCTATTTTTAATTCACATTAATACAAAGATTGGTTTAATAATTTTAGTTGTACCTAATGTATTTATGATCTGGCCCATAAATAGTTTAACATCACAAATTTAAAGAAAAGGACTCTTACAATACATGTTATAATACAATGTCCTTCTCATAATTATAATTTAATACAAAATAATCAATAATGCAAGATGACAGCATCTATGCAAAGTTTTAACTGAATTGGAGAAACAACTTGCGAATTTGTTTTATTTTCAGTTTCCTATCCAGTTGCACTATTCACTGGCTCCTTGACATCTCTCTAGCTCCTGCCAGCAATCCTCATCTCACCATTATTTTCATTAAATATGTCAAATTAGTTTATATCCTGTAGACCCTTGAAAATATTTGATACAGGACTTAAGAGCCAAAGAATAATATAATATAAGGATACTACCATATAACTGCTGATATTTAAGGACCAACCTCATGTCGTAAATAACTGCAGGCTATCTGTTAAAATTTTAAAGCACTAAGTTAAAAGCTTTCACCATAACCCTTAAAAAACAGCTGTATGAAATTACAATTTACTTAGATAATTGTGTGTGACCCAGAATTTGTAGAAGTTGCACACCTTACCTGGGTATATAGTGTTTAAAAACACAGAAAAATTATAATGTATAAGGAAACAAACGAATCTATAATTAAAAATATTAAATCTAGAGCTCAATTTAGAGTTTACAATGTTTTTAAATATTCAGATTTTTGTTGAAAATCTATTGAATGTCTATTTTCACCCCTAAAAAACCTTTTAACAGTCATCACTAGTAAACCAATAATTAACCTTTCTTAAACACATTTTACACAGCTCTATTGCATTACAGTTTTTTACAGCTCAATGACTTTTTGAGTCATCACCATAACTTCTAACATAAGACACCTTGATTGATACTTAAATCAATTTCTATAGATGGCTTCACCATCAACTCAAATTATAGATACAGTACAATAATTCAGTAATATAATGAATTATTTTACCATGCTATAGTAATTCATGAAAACGCCATATTAATAACACTTAGAGCTGTAGAAATCATGGTATTTTTTTACGTTTTCATGTAAAAGACATATTGGTTGGTGTACGCAAAAAAACAACTCTGATTACTTAAAATAATTTTATCTTTTTTGTCATAGTGGTTCTGTTTATTATAAACAATACATAATTGTTCTTTTGATAAAAATTGATTTTAGACAATGCCTTTGTGACATGTGTCAAAGTGTGACTATGAAAAAATCACCACTTACCAAATAACTCCTTCAGACAACATGCACATTGTGACGAACGGTAGTCATATTATTCTCAGAAAAATCACTAAGTACCTGCCCGAATGCTCTGTCCCAAATTTAAATAAAAGTAGGTAAATTAATTGCAATTGTTTTGTATTTTTTTTAAACCTGTTAACAATGTACTAACTCTAACATTTTAAAAAAACTACTCAAAAATGTATTTTGAATAATTATTTACTTGCTGGTCATAACTATTGCAGTGATTTCAAAACCACATATTTTCCATAATTTCAGGTACATTAAAACATTAGGAAAACAGTCAATACCCTTCGACTTGCCTCTTGCATAACACTTAATTGCTCAGCGAAAACTTATTAACATATCTATATACTTACTATGAATATTTTTTATGTTTATTTTATGTTAAGAAACCAAATAGGTACATTGCTTTTTCCTTAAAATTTATTACTTTATTGTTATATTTATATTAAGTCATAATCACAGATATTTTTATTCAATTTGTAACTTTTTTACTCGGTGAAAGTGAATTTGTGATTAATTATTTCTATATTTATATTACATATAAAATATTGCTTTCAAACACCTTTAAAAATATAATGGTTCTTAACTTTTTATAAACATATGTAATAGGATCACTAACTAAAACTAATTACATGCTCTGCGAAGTTATCCAGTTCAGATACTAGCTACTTTCTTTTTTAAAAACAAACTTACGTTAAGAACTTTACCTGCCTACATAGGTAACATTAAATTATCATTTAAATGAATACAACAAAACAATTATGATAAATTGAAATTCAATATGTACATAATATTAATATTATTTTATTTAAAAAGCATTCAGTTCTTATTAAACCTCATATACACGCCCGCGCAAATGAGTACGAGATCGCGCCATTCCAGACGTGCACACAAACTTACGTATACACACACATATTATGTACACACCCATCAGATGTATAAATAATAAACGGAACACAAAATTTAAAATTGTAAATGCCGAAGACAAAGGATTTTAATTTTCACGATAAGAAGATCCCAGGTTTTAAAATTAAATAAGAGTCAACCATCTTCTCTTTCAAATTTAGATATTTTGATTTTCTTCAATGGCCTCGCGTACTACACTTTGAACGAAACATGAAATGAAACGTACAGGCCCAAAAATAATTTTAATATCAACACATACTGTTATTAGTGAAATAATCAAATGTCGACGAATAGCACCTCAGTCGTAGTAAAAGTATTCGAAACGACGTACCTATATAGTACGAGTCTAATGACAATAAGAAACGCGAGATTAAACCGTAATGTTAATTTTATATAAATAGTTTATCATGAAAGATCATAACTGACTAATATCTTATTGAAATATCGACTTTCTTACAACATCCATAGAATTGATACAATATAATATTTGTTTTCATGGAACATCCAATGCATAAAATAAAATATCCTAACATGCTTCCAACGTAATATTTATTGTTTTTTAAAAATATAATTTATTTTGAATCATCAAAACGAGTAGTTTATTTTCTAACAGAAACAATTACAAGTTATATTTGTTCTCAAACGCAAGAGCAGCGCGTAGTTAATATATATCAAGATTGCAAAGTTGAATTTAGTCGAGCAAACGGAACCAGTAGTCGGTAGCCTCGCCATGAGTCACGGTTGTCTAACCTCGTCGTGTGACTGTCATTTTTTGTTGGAAATATGTAGGTGTAAAAACGTATACAAAGCCGGCGAACTCGTTTATACACCGAATAACTCTGTAGAAACTTCACACAACAATAACGTTGTCCACTCGTTTTAGGAAAGTATATAGAACAGATAATAATAATTTAGGATAAAACGAAATGTAAGTACAGAAAACTTTCGAAACACCTTTAAAAAGATTAATTGTAATTTTATTAAACTACATTCCCTCAACGGATAAAACATTTTTTTATTCCGTCTTTTTTTTTTTAAATAGCCTTGCGCTTAGGAACTGCTTGTTAAATTCAATTTGATTTGTGTATTTTCATTTCACCAGTAAACTTACCAATAAACTTATAGAGTAAGAGATAGAAACATTTTTATGTATTCACGTAATAGTGGTGTGTAGTACGTATGTATACACGTTTACTATAACTTGGATTGTCATCTTGCGATCGGTCATGATCGCCATAAGCAAACTAAATTGAACTTTAGGGTTCATTTATAAAATGAGAATTTTCTAATACAAACTGGTAAAATCGCCGTATGTGATTACGTTATGCCAAAGCATTTCGTACACTTATTTAAAAAACATTAGTATTGTCTTAAAGCATTCAGCCAGTTAGTGCATTAAGTTCAAAGTTAAGCCCTAAACACCGTGTAACAGAAAATACTCTACATTAAAACAAAAATACCCAATACAGTATATTGACTTTTATTATTTAGATACGCTAATATTTTTTGCAGTACGAACCAATTGATGGGTGAAAAGCTAACGTCACAAAGACACCTTTGCCGGCTTTAACCTAATAAAAAGAACGTGATGATTTTTTGAATACGCTTAAGCAAATTTAAAGAATTTATAAAGGCTCCGTACTTTATTAGTACATTCGGCCAAGGAAGCCTGAGTCACAGAATTTAAAAAAAAATTTGGTCCTACATTCCCAATTTACTCCCGTACATTTTTTTAACTGAGTCTTTTCTTTTTCAGTTAATGACCGATCGGGCTTCAACTGAAAAATCTCCGGAGCTCAATCCAAACGCAGGTATTTATTTTCTTATCACAATACTTAAAGCAGTACTGATTATTTTTGGTAACACCTCAATTATAATCACCTTTAAACAATAAACTGCAAAGCCTCCACGGTTCATGGTACACTTTGATATTAGTGGATAGAAAAATTTATTTGATGCAGTATTTATCCAGAACTTGCCTTTGATATAGAATTTGCTGAAACTAGCGCATCGTATCCATTGTAAAAGCACTTATACGCATTAATCTCATTACCTGAAGACGACGTTCTTCCCTGGACACAAAAGTATTCGAAATAAAAATAAAGTAAACGCGTGATTGAACTGTAAATGTTTTTTTTTTTTTATAATTGCTTTAGTATTTTAATTATTCAAACAATATTTTAATTATTAATTTGCAAACAATTCGATTGAATTATTATTTTGAATTTTAAGCGGTTTCCTGCATAACAGCAGTAGTATCGTTTATTATTTATTAGATCTTTTAAAAAAAAATACAGCCTTTGAAAACGACTTTTGGAAACGCGTTGTATCAGCAAACTCCGTAAATACTTTATGTGAAGAGAACTCGACGTTCAAGTACATTTAGAATATTACAAATCACTTGAAGAAGATCGATACTTTGTTGCCATTTATACTCATGCTGTAACCTGATTTGTTTACTATAACGAAAGCCAACGGCTTTTTATAAATATCTTCTGGCTCGCCTTAAGTGCTGTTATTTTCTGTAAACAAAATTATAATGGGTATCGATTTCGGTAACACAAATAAAATATACTTTACAGTTTTTCAAAAAGTGGTTATGCACATTTACTGGTGGTTGTGCATATTTATTTCTTATTTAAAGGGTAGAACATCAGTTGTTACCTTATTTGAGACTACTGACTACCTCACGCCTCTGGCCGGCTTAATATAATATCAGTAATAGCTAAATTTGAAAAAAATTATACACCTACATGTGTAACACTAAATCAAGATTTAATTGTTTATCACCATCAAATTAACTGCAGAACTTTCATAAGTATAGTCTACAATGCGACTGCACGGTCATAAATTATAGGAAATTGGTACCAAAAGTACTTGATCGATGTCTGTAAAGACAGATAAATCAGTAAAACGCACGAAGGAAACTCGTGTTTAATACTCGTAAATTGTACTCAATTTAAAATTCGAACTAAATACAAGCAATAAACAAGTATTCGTATATCACGCAAATATTTCAAAGGTCGCGTACAGCACGATACTATCCAAGTTATTTATTATGAATAGTAATAATGTAAAAATCCTTTAAAAGATATAACCCTATGCAGAACGGCATAAATAGTAGTGCGTCTGTTGTCGAGTAGAGACGAATCGGGATCAGTGTAATTAAACGACTATACTTTGGTTCAACCCTATAACGCGTACCGATTATCTCCTAAATTATTATGCACTCATTGTTGCATTCACTCAAGACTTCCACTATGAATATTATAGTGTAATAAAAATCAAATCACTAAACTCTATAAATAAAAGCAAATAATTTTTGGTTGTAGAACTCGTTTTGACGCATGTCGCATGTGATATAGTAAATATAAAATCAACGAATAATCCTATATTCAATGAATGTTTTAAAATGTAGTAAAAATATATTTTACCCAATACGAGACGAAAAATGACTTAGTTTTATTACGATGATACACTTAATTGTTGTCAGAAGTCTAACAAAAAATGTTACTTACTAAAAAATACCTTAAAATTGTATAGCTTACATAAGAACCGAAATTTTAAACCATAAATTAACGCATGTCTGTTTCGCGACAGGAACAGATAGGAAGGGGCACATACCTATACGGGCTCGTGAACGTGTGTTAAGTGCGTACATACATCCCTAGGAATTTGAAAACCGGCATAGTCGGACCGCTTAAAAAAATTACACCGAGCGTCTTATACTTTAGACCACGGCGATTTAAAAATTTAAAAAATTGATCATATTTGCAACAGTGTAGTAAAAAATTCCGACGGTAATCAGTAATCAGCTTAAAAAAATGACACCGAGCGTCTTATACTTTAGGCTACGGCGACTTCAAAATTGACCTTATTTGCAAGTGTAGTAAAAAATACCGACGGTAATCAGTAATCAGTCTCCCACTAAGTTGACGTGAGTCGGGTGAGTTGTTGCCAATTGTATAGTAAGCCTTAGTGATTTCATTTACATAACCATTTTTACTGGTGGTAGGACCTCTTGTGAGTCCGCGCGGGTGGGTACCATCGCCCTGCCTGTTTCAGCAGGGAAGCAGTAATGCGTTTCGGTTTGAAGGGTGGGGCAGCTGTTGTAACTATACTGAGATCTTAGAACTTATATCTCAAGGTGGGTGGTGCATTTGCGTTGTAGATGTCTATGGGCTCCAGTAACCACTTAACACCAGGTGGGCTGTGAGCTCGTCCACCCATCTAAGCAATAAAAAAAAACGAAAATGAGTAATCCTAGTTAAGACTTTGTTGTATCTCTTTCGAACTTGGTTGAAGCTGACGATGATACAAATAAAAAAACCGCTCCGAATTGATATGTATGCCAGAAGAACGGTCGAGCCTCTGACTACGCGGAGCGTTTGTCAAGCCAAGCGTCCCTGGCTCACGTATCAAGCAGTATATTCCAAATTATTGATGAGCTTCCAAAATATAAGTGATGGCATCATAATTTCGTATTTTTATTACATGGCTCCAATGCTTTAACTCATACTATATATACACTCGTAATTGACATTTACGGGATCTAATAAGTAAACTCGCAGTAAGATAACAAGGCATTGGCAATGACAAGGCGTTTTGGCATGCTGTTTTTTACAAAACTAAGGGTGTCACTAAAATGATTGAACTTAACCTGGAAGTTTCTTAATTTAATAATATTATACTATGCAATAGGTCTACACCAGAAAACATTCCTGGTGTTCACAATAATTCTAAAAAGTTCATTGTAAACAGAAAACAACAAAATATATTATTAAAACTATAAAGCCAATTTATGAGTTAACATTTTATAAAGAATCTAATGGATTGCGAAAGAGGTGTTTGCGATTATCAACCTATTAAATTGAGCCGGTGAGCCGATGAAGAACTCTTTTTTCCCTACCTATTCGCTGTTAATCTGAGGCGTTATTCCAGCTACGCCTGGACGGGTAGTTAAGCTCATATGCTGGACCTGAGAGAATTTCCTAACAAGAGCCCTAGCAAGAGCAGTGCTTTGCAGAATCTATCACCGGATCGGAATCGCGACCCACTGAGAAAATCCGGCGAGAAACTTAGTGAGCTGCATCTATGGATTAGGAAGAACTTGTCTTACATCGTCAAACAAATCATTACATACTATTAGCTGAATACATTTTTATTGCCTCGATGATCTAGTCGCTATACTTTGTAATAGCACTGCACCACATACGAAGGACCGAGCAAAAAAATAAGCTTCCAAAACTAGATTTCACATTTTCTTTTTATATAGAAAATTTTAAATAGAAAATAAATAATTACTGCGTATATGGCTTAGGAAATTATTATCATTATTATTATTGAACGTATGTACATATATTCACACATATATCGATTAAATTATTTAACTCCGCCAGTATATGTTGTATAGTACTTTACAACGCGTAGTTACGGCCGGTCTGTGCTCGGTCACACCCTACTGCTGAGGGTATTGCCCTAAACAAATTTACTTATAGAACGACACCTGCAGGCGGCCTATTAACCAAGGTAAAAAACTAATAAAAAAGTTTTAAATTGCGAAATAAAACCTTTTTTTACGTACTAAACGTACACGTATTTTAAATATAAAGTATTTTTGTTACACATCAGTAATACATAAATTTCATAAATAATATTGGAGTAGAAATTGAAATATTTTTGTTGTGTCTGCAATATTAAATTTAGATGGTAGTTTGTCTAGCAATGTTTTGTTGAACTGTTTGCTCCATGCTCGTGGCGTGCTTTTTATGATGTAGAGAACACGAACGGCCTTCATGCTTAATGGGCGGATGACCGCCGGCCGAGCGCGCGCAACATCGCTGACTTTCACCTGTGAACGCTGTTTTGTATAAACATAACTTTAAACACTATTTTTATATTATTGTTTTATGGCGAATCTTTCAACAAACTGTCACTCATTGAAATTCCATTTCATGCGTACATCATTATTTATGTGAACCATTAAACATTGTCGTCTTACCGGAGATTTTGTTTGTTCATTCGTGTGTTGTCCTTTGTTTAATGCATGCACGAATTGTTTTGGTTTCGGCAAAAAGACAAAGAATAAATCAATTAAATCATGATTATTTTCTTTATAATAAAATAAAATAACTAAATCCTTTATCTAACAAGCATGGAAATGAGGAATATTTTATTTATTTAATATAAGTAAATATTTTAGTATGTATGGTGCACACGATGACGTTCAATGGGGTCTATCGAAGAATGTGTTTCGCTGATTTGTTGTCGAATATTGAAAGAAGTAGAGTGTAACTGTAGATCGTAAGCGGGATGGAACGTCGATAAAAGAAAAGTATACACTAGGAGTGCTGAGGTGCTGGCGTGTTCGCGCGTGTCTGGTGCAGAAAAGAGCGCACGCGGAGGCGGGGCGGAGGGCGAGAGGAAGTGTCTATATGGCAGATCCGGAGTCATCATGAAGGTGGATGCCGACGCTACAGACGCGCCCGCCGCGCAGACCGCTGCCTCCGCAACACCGACCGCTAGTAATACCGAATCGCCTGTCTCATCTCTCGACGGTTTGTTGGATTAACACCTAACATTATCAGCACTTTGTAAATACCCTTAACGCATCTTACCATCGTCGTATTTACGATCATCACTTACTAATCAGTCATCGCTTGTTCGACCAATTAATTTGTGTAACGCCCCTTCCGTGCCTATGCATAGATGTCTGAAATAAAACTGCAGTAGAAAACGTTTACTTTGCGTATTATTTGTTTTTGGTAGTAAAAGTTTGTTCACGCCACATTAAAATAGAAAGTATAGAATTAGAGACAATGTAAGTAACATAATGTACTTAATTATTTTACGGTTTTCAGTAGCAAATTACGATCGCGTTGTTTATACGTTCCGACTTTATATCTAAGCATCTTTATAGAATGTATACTGTAATCTGACATTCAACTGACATGCGAGATTATAATTTTATTGCGATCTAAGGTACATACGACTTACTAAAAATAAGTCCACGTACTTTTTTTTTAAATATTATAATTAAAAACAACGATTTTCAAACAAATATTGACTGTATGTATTTCTATAAGTATCTCTTTATTTCATATATATAATTAATCTACTAAAATATGCGTAAACAATACACAAGTTCGTAAACTTATTGTAAATAAATAATCGAATTGTCACTAACAAACATATTATATATTTTGTTACAAAAGCTATGTACGGCCTACAAATTATTAACCAAACACGTGATCCTACAACATAAACGATATACTCAAGTAGCTACATGATTAATCGAGTAATCTTATACAGACTGCCGAATCCCGACAAGTGAAACTATCCCGACGCCCGACCGGGCGCTTCTCGCCAAGCTGGAGGAAGAAAACCGTCGTATCGAGGCTGATGCGAAGAACGCCTCGCTCACTACCGTCCACAGTCGGAAGAGCTCCGACACATCACTGATATCCCTCGCTTCCGGTAAGTGCATCGCCTTAATGACTACGATTGATTCATTCATGCCGTCCTCACTAAGTATGTAGTTTTTAGGTTGAACTAAGCCTTAATATAAACTAGTGAACCTAAATTCTCATTAAAAACATTGTTTGCCACCGTTTTGTTAATTTTCCATATTTTGAGCAATTTTTACGAAAAATTAAATATTTGTCAAATCTCTTCAGCCGTTCACATGATACATTTAACTTGATCCGGCAGTAGATTCAGCGATGCACTATTTGTCTGTCTTCAGGTAGTAAATTCCATTGAAAGATTCTGTTAATTATAAAATATAGATCGATACAGGTCAAACCAATAAAAGGGTGCTAGAACATATTATGCTTAAGGGTATTTAATTCTACTTGTACTGACCTTTCTTTAATCTTATATACGACCATAACAACAAGTATCTTAACTTTACTTGGAAAATTAATTTAGTTATTAATTTTGTCTCCGTAAGTCATATCTAAAATGCATTCAATTTTATTTATTAACAAACATTGTCTCCACCAACGCAATCCTGATTTTAAAAAAAACTAATTGGTAATTGGGCATTTACATAACTGTTTACAAAGTTCGGTAAGAATATTCAAGGCACTCGAGTTTAGATTGAAGATAAATTCAATTTAATCTTGAGCGGTATCATGCATAGTGAGTTCAAATTACATGAAGTTTGTTAATTAACCTCTATGCTAATAATTCATTCTATTATAACGAATGCTTAAAATATCCATAAAAATAATAATATGTACATTAACATGCCTAAAATATCGATATGTTCGTACATGGCAACGTAGCACATATTTGCTAAGAATTTCAGAGCCTCCTGTCAATTGTGCGAGTTTTCAAGCTAATTTAAACACCACGTTTTCTACATATTAGTTGTCTTCGCAGCTAATGTGGGGCACGTGCATTTAAAATAACGTGTTGTTGTTTAAAAAGAGGGGAAAAATATAGGTCAACACAACTTCCCTCTTATCTAGCAGCCAATTGATAGTAATTGCAAAGTTCTCCATGTCGCATCTCTCGAAAATACATCCGTCCATGACCAACGACAACTCAAAATTTAGATTCAATGAATATATATATTTTATTTATAAAAGTGTCTTTTTTTCTTATAAACCTGGGAACAATCATTTTTGTACTTATACCCCTTTGGTCAGTACACTCTAACTTAAGAGGGCGCATTTTAAGTAGGCCTTTAAAGATATTTAGATTTGATTGTTTTCGTATATATGTACTTGTGTTACAAAAGCAATTTGACTAGAGAAGTATTACCAAAATACTGTATATAAATGAATAGTAAAATGTAATAAAACATTCTTAAAAACGAAGACAATTGGTAGAATTAATTATCGAGTTTATTTTTAAAAAAATACACTATCAATAGGTAATCACTAGCAGTAATGCGAGTCGGTTTGAAGGGTGGGGCAGCCGTTGTAACTATACTTGAGACCTTAGAACTTATATCTCAAGGTGGGTGGCGCATTTACGTTGTGGATATCTATGGGCTCCAGTAACCACTTAACGCCAGGTGGACTGTGAGCTCGTCCACCCATATAAGCAATAAATAAATAAATAAAAGTATTATACGAGTAGTTATGGTTTGGCCCGCTACACTCTAGTGTAACTAATTTGTAATCTAAATGCATCGATTTATATTTACCAAAGTTATTTACTATCTTGAACTGCGCGCAATATATAATCTATATATTAATACGTGAAGGAAAAACTTTGTATCCCTTTTTACGAAAACTGCGCGAACGGAGGGGTATGAAATTTTCCACAATTATAGAGAATATAGAGAAGGAGTGCACAATGTTTTTTTTTTTTTTTAAATTATGGCTAATAAATACATTAAATCATTAAAAAAAACATTACACACACTATAATGTATTTGACGCACACACGCATGCATACTATTTATTTATTTTCAAACTTTTGTTCTTGACGTCTGTTGTCAAATTGAGAATAGATTAAATATTGTTTATCTTTATTAATATTTTTCTATAGTGTGTCTTGGCGAAATTTGTGATTATAGAAGTATGAAAGTCTTTGAAAATAGAATCTTAATAGTGTACAAACTTATAATTTAAATTAATTATAGTCGAATTTCGACTACCGGGCGACCACTAGTGCTATTAAAAATGAGAGTCGGGCATGATGTACTTGTTGACTTAGAAACATTTCACCCATAATTGCCGGTTCGAAAAAAACGTATTTAGACATAGCTTATCAAATAAACATTTATATCTGTTTAGGTTAAGGTAGATACATTATTACCGCTTCGTTTTTTCGGAACAGTGTTGGAGAAAGGAAAAATAGAAATTTCTAGAGTTTTTAAATATACAGAAATACTCGTAATAGTGTCGAAGTTGTGCATAAGCGTGTCCTTAAATATAAATGTAGTAGGTCCTTAATTAGATATGAGTACTAGATATAATATTGGCTAGATATAAATTAATTGTTGTATACTATTTATTTGAAATTTAAAGGTATAAAAGGTAACAATTAACAATACTAAAAATGCAAACAATGTTATTTAATAGGGATGTCACTTGTCGATATCAAAAGTGATATTTGTGCCAGAAGTTGTCGTTTGATGTTCGCCAGCGCTTGCAAGTCACTTACATTGTTATTGGCATGACTATAATTGCGTTTAATCTGATTGGTCGGTGGCCAATGTAGGAAAATAAAGAAATTTACCTAGCAATAACATACATGATACATTATTTTTTTTCGAGAATTTATTTAACCCTTACCCCTTTAACCGTATAAACTCTAAAGCGACGTGCGTATCATATAGATTTTTACAATATCGACTTCTTTATTACGTAAATATATTTAGTAAAAATGGTATCTATTTAACTTAATACTTCGAAAAAAAACAAGAATAAATTTGAAAAATTGAAATGGCTATAAAAATACCGATGCAGTAGTTTATCATCAAATAACTCTTTTCAGTCGTATCTTATCATATCTATCAATCTAACATATATTAAAATAGTTGAACCCAGTACATAATAATATGCATATAGCTAAATTGTTAAAAAATTATAAAAATAGATAAGAAGCGACTAAAGAACAATAATACAACATAAACAACATAATTATGTACAAACATAGATCAATAATATTTAGAAATAAAATTTGTTTGTTCGCGCTTATTAAACTTTAAATAAAAGTTTATACAAGAGTACCGATCTTGACGAAATTCGATATGGAAATAGTTTGAACACCGTGAAATAATCTAGGTACTATCTATATCATCTCACAGCTGAGCACGAATCTAAGCTTACGCGATTTAAAGTGTAGTGCACACGAGCGAGGCTGCGCGCGGATACCTTTAAAGCAGGGATTCCCAAACTTATTTTGTCCACTGCCCACTTTGAGAATAATTTTTTTTTTTAGCGCCCCCCTTTTTTAAACTACTTAAAAACCACTATAGCTCATTCGGTGTCTAAGAGTCCTCCTAGATGAAATCACAAATCGCCTCCCAAGCCTCTACACAACGCCCCTATTTTTTTTCTGGGTGTCTTACCGCCCCCCTTTAGGCCTGCAGCGCCCACAGGGGGGCGTTATCGCCCACTTTGGGAAAGGCTGCTTTAAAGTATCAAAATAAAAACGAAAACACGATTTATCAGTAGCAATTAACGGTTATGATTCGTGAAAATGTAACTCGAATACAATGATGACCTCGTTAATATTTTGTAACATTACGCGACGTCGATTTACGAAACCAGATTGCTCAAATAAAAAGTTAAACGTACATGCCGGTATAATTTTTCGAGGCAAGTCATACTGGCTTCGTTACATAGACTTATCTCTTATCAGTCTGCGATAGTGCATGGTGCAGAGGTACCGGTGTTTCGATGGGTGTTTAGTTGTTATAAATTATGATGTTTACGTTAAAATGAACGATATAAGTGAATTGTTCGGTTCTAAAAGTGTATTGGAATTATATTTGTCGAGCGTTTTTGAAAATCTTTCATTGGGTCAGTAAAGTTAATATGAAACAAAAATACTATTACGCTTGTGAAACATAAATGATTCACGAATTCGCATCACAATTATAAAACGCAAAACGCTTTATTTGAAACTGATTAAATAGTTCTATAGACCCGTAAGACATAAATTGAGGATAGGATATTATTCAATCATTAAAATTATTTTTTTACGAAATCCTCTTAATATTAATATTGGATTTAAAGCGGAAACAAAACATTAATTTGTGTAAAATCGTCACAGTTTTAAATATTTGGGTCACAAATGTATATTGTTCACACAGTAACGTTGTATAATACTTTCTACCGTTTCATTTTAATTATATTTCTTTTATAGTGTTTCGCACTAATTACACAAGTGCCATTCAGGTTACTAGGAGCCTTGAGTTAAAATTTTGGTCATAACTTAAATCTGTATCGAGAGCTAAAGGTAGTTCAATGCACAGAACTATATTATAAAATTTAATGGATATCTCTAAATTTAAGTATAATTCAGTTTCCGTTTTAATCGCGCGTTATTTTCGAAATAGCCACAAGCTCAAGTCATGAGGTCGAAACGCGCCCAACTCCTGGGACTAATGGAGAAGAGGATCTTTGGAGCCTCTGGGGTCGCCTCGTCAGCAACTGGGAATCGGAATGGAAACGTCGAAATCAATGGGTCCGCGACCTTGTTCGACAGGGTGTCCCACATCATTTCAGAGGCATCGTATGGCAGCTACTGGCAGGCGTAGACACGTCGCCCGAAAAGAAGTTATACGCCTCATATATTAAGGTAAACATATAAAAAAGTAATTCATTTGTCCAGGTAATCAATTAAAATGATCATAAAACACAAGTTCTGTTTATGTTTTAGGCGAAATCAGCCTGCGAGAAGGTCATACGTCGTGACATCGCTCGTACTTATCCCGAACACGATTTCTTCAAAGAGAAGGATGGCCTCGGCCAGGAGTCTTTGTTCAATGTGATGAAGGCGTATTCTTTGCACGATCGAGAAGTCGGCTACTGTCAAGGCTCAGGATTTATCGTCGGCTTATTACTAATGCAGGTCAGTACGGGTACACAGTACGTATGAAACAATGTAATGGGAAACGAGGTAACCAACTCGTGTGTTAATTCTAGATGCCGGAAGAGGAAGCGTTCGCTGTTTTAGTTAAAATAATGCAACAACATCGCATGCGGGACATGTTCAAACCGAGCATGGCGGAACTGGGACTCTGCATGTTTCAGCTGGAGAACTTGGTACAGGAACTGTTGCCTGACTTGCATGTTCACTTCCAATCTCAGGTTATTGATGTTTTTACATTTAATCAGTTTCGAATTTAATGGGTTTGTTTTAGGGAAAATACAAAACGTACCCTCAGTTTTTCACTTGTTGTAAATAATTATGTTTCTTTTGACTCTAAATGTATGCTCTTAACAAATAATGAAATCGTAATCGATAGTGTATAATATAATGGTTTTATTTTTGTAATACGAATATCTGAACGAGCTACTGCTGTAGTAGTAATCGTCCGTCGGTACAAGCAGGATATTCACTGGATTTATTACTGGTGGTAGGACGTCTTGTAAGTCCGCACGGGTAGCTCACACCACTCTGCCTATTTCTGCCATGAAGCAGTGATGCGTTTCGGCTTAAAGGATGGGGCAGCCGTTGCAACTATACTGAGACCTTAGAACTTATATCTCAAGGTGGGTGGTGGCATTTACGTTGCAGATGTCTATGGGCTCCGGTTACGTCCACCAATCTAAACAATAACAATAAAGAAAAACTTACTTTTGTTTCCTACCGTCACAAGCACTAATGGTAAGGCACGGTGCAAACTCGCACGGGTCGTTGCCAATGACCTGCTCATTTCAACCACGCATCAATTCAATGTTTTGTTTTGAAGAGCAACTTTTGTACCCGCGAAATTAATTATTCGATTCAAGATCGACAACGGCGATAACTTTGTAATGTCAATGGACTCCTGTGACCAATCAAAATTGTATGAACAGTGAACTTAATGAAACTCTTTAATCTATACTAATATATTAATCTACAGTGGTTTTTACGGATGTTCCGTTACAACTACTGAACCATGCATCGGATTGACTTGAAACTTGGCATCCATGTAGAAAATACATGTACTTAATGGATGGCTAATATTTATATGAGTGTTGGACTCCCTACACCAGTTGCGGGGGTGTTCATAAAGAGAATCTTTGTGGGGGTGAAAAATAACAATGTTAATTTTAAATGCCCAGCGAAGCAGACGGGTACAGCTAGTATAAAAATATAAATGTAAAAAATGAGTCGTTTTCGTTTAAATGAAATTAATATATATATATTTTTATTCACAGAGCTTCAGCACGTCTCTGTACGCTAGTAGTTGGTTCCTGACTTTGTTCACAACAACATTATCACTTCCGCTCGCTTGCCGTATAATGGACGTGTTTCTCTCTGAAGGAATCGAAATTGTTTTCAAAGTCGCCCTAGCGTTGCTTACTTTAGGAAAAAACGATCTCTTATCGCTCGATATGGAGAGCATTTTGAAGGTAAGGTGGGAAATCGAAAAATTGTTTATTCAAAATCATTAATAGAATTGTTCGAAATAAAACAACACTCATGACATAAATAAATAGGATAACAAATACAGTTTTTTAGCCATGTTGCTTTTGATATTTCATAAAAATATTCTCATCTGTTGAACAATACATTTTGTTTCTTTTTGTGTGTTTAAATATAATTAATACGTCCGTATAATGTGTTATACATTGATACAAGGAAAACCAAATAAGTTTTCACCATTAACCCTTTGCACTCGAGAGATGATTCTCGCTCACCACTTTGTTTGGTGCGGAAATTAGATGCTACTACTTATGTTACTTTATTTGATGATTGACATATTGTTTATGTTGTTATCGTTCTTTTTGTCGTTCGTAATGAAATCATGTGGCAAGCGATACCCTCCTCTCGAGTGCAATAGTTTAATAATACACATTTAAAAAACTAACATTAATAATAACACAATTATAGAAAAATAATTTTAAAAAAAACTACAGATCCCACCTAAATCATCTGACGAAAAATCGAAAAGGTCGTTTTAGTCGAATATCGATATTTAAAATTGCAAGTTCTCATGGAACCTTTTTATTTCAGTACATACAGAAAGAATTGCCCTCGAAAGCTGAAGCGGATCAAGCCGCTTTCATGAACTTGGCGTATTCAGTCAAAGTGAATCCGAAAAAAATGAAGAAACTCGAAAAGGAGTACACGGTTATAAAAACAAAGGAGCAAGGTGATATCGCCGTGCTCAGGGTAAGTTTTCAACTATTTTATCTCGATATTTTTTAAAAGATACTAAATTTACGATTTATGAAGAAAAAGATTTAGTCTTATGTGCAAAAAATATTAGCAAGTATTTTTTTGGGAGCACGTAAAAAGTATCGATACTTTATAGTGTCGAGTTCCTTTTAGGTGATATCGATACTTTTTGAATTCGATGCATTAACGCGATACTCGATAAATTTGTCGAGTTGATAATCTGGCCTTCTTGAAGGTCTTGTCGGTACTTCTAACATAGCTCCGTGTATGTGAAAATGACCTATCGCCACACCGAGGGTCGTGCGCTGATTTGCCAACTATTGCAGTAAACAAAAAAAACTTACTATATTGAGCACTGTTACGACTAATCAACAATGAAGATGAAGCTATTACATATCACTAAAAGAAACATTTCACACATTTCATTGACTTTAAGGAAGGTTTTGTCAAACGGGTCTTTTACCGATACAGCTCATCAGTAAAACATCGATGCGTTTTTTTTTTCCTGTAGTGTCTTCGTCAAGAGAACCGTCTCCTCAAGCAACGCGTAGAACTGCTGGAGAAGGAAAGTTCCGCTCTAGCAGAGCGTCTGGTCCGAGGTCAAGTGGACCGCGCTGAAGGAGAAGAAGAAACCTTTGCATTGGATCGAGAGGTCCAAGCGTTGCGTCGAGCTAACGTAGACATGCAGCAGCGGCTGGCCGTTGCTTTAGATGAGATAAGATCTCTCGAGATGACTATCGCCGAGGTATGAGATTGTTTTTTTTGATTGATCGTTCATAATCGTCATTACATACTTGTAAAGTCTTATCGACTATTAAACTCGTATAATTCATGGCCGGGATTATCCTGCTTTGTCCACTTTGAGACATAAGGTTGAATTCTCAAATCTATTAAAGTCCCGCCTTACTTGATTACGCTGAACTTTTTATCAATGAGGTCCGGGACGTAACGAAACGATACTTCGTGTCTAAAATATATTATTAAAAATTGAAATTCGGTCACGCTTCGCTGTGACTGTTGCTAATTATACCAAAAAAAATTGATTTATTGAAACAGTAAATTAAATTCCGTACATTGATAGCACTATGACAGAAACATTTTTCTGCTAAGTTTCTCGCCGGATCGTCTCAATAAGTCGCGATTCCTAGCCATTGGTATATTTTGCGAAGCATTGCTCTTGCTAGGGCTAGTGTTAGCAAATTTTCTCAAGTTGAGCCCGTGAGCTCACCTACCGCCTCGTAGACTACCAAAGAAAAAATGGAAACTTCCCCCGAAGTTTCAATAGCAATACGGGGCAGAATCTTGTCACGTTCGTATTCACGGTTTAGGATCTAAAAAAAAAAAAAAAAACAATTATAATAAATTTCGTTGTTGTTGTTCTTGTTCTTTGAATAGAATAACTCGAGGCAGTCGTCGCTGGAGGGCACCGAAAGCGCCAGCGGTCAGAAACACGAGGAACTAGCGCGCTGCCTGCAGAGGGAGCTAGTGCGGGCTCGTCTACACGCAGCGGAACGCGAGGCCGCCGAACGCGAACTGACGGCTCGCATCGACGAACTCGAGAACGAGAACAAGAGCCTCAGGAGACAGCGCGTCGACAACAATGTCGCACACTTACAGGTCGCGAATCGCAACTATTTATTTATGCTCACCTTTTTTTTTATTGCTTGTATGGGTGGACGAGCTGACAGCCCACCTGGTGTTAAGTCGTTACTGGAGCTTATAGATATCTACAACGTAAATGCGCCACCCACATTGAGATATAAGTTCTAAGGTCTCAAGTATAGTTACAACGGCTGCCCCTCTCTTCAAACTGAAACGCATTACTGCTTCACGGCAGAAATAGGCAGGGTGGTGGTACCTACCCGCCCGGACTCTCAAGAAGTCCTACCACCAGTATCTACTACAGTTTATATGTCAACTAGAGGTGCCGGTCGGTTTTAGCCGCGTTCAATTTTTTATTCAGAGAGACTTTAACAGGTTCACTTATGGTAGGACCTTTTTTGGATCCGCACGGGTAGGTGCCACCACCCTGCCTATTTCTGCTGTGAAGCAGTAATGGCTTTCAGTTTGAAGGGTGGGGCAGCCGTTTTAACCATACTGAGACCTTAGAACTAATATCTCAAGGTGGGTGGCGCATTTACGTTGTAGATGTCTATGAGTTCCAGTAACTAAGCAATAAAATCTCCAGTATCTAAGCAATAAAATAAAAAAGGTTGCTTGTTTTCCGGGATTAAGGGTCAACAGACCATCAGTGATCATATTTAACAAATAACATGAAATTCGAATTCGTTTTTTATGTTAACCGTCATTATCAAAATGAGAATGAAAGTTAGCTTGGTGCTACGTGTAACTTTGATATTTATAAATGAATGTTGACTTTAAACAAACAGGACGAGCTGATAGCCGTAAAGTTGCGCGAAGCTGAAGCTAATCTCTCGTTGAAGGACTTAAGACAGCGGGTCTCGGAGCTGTCGGAATCGTGGCAACGACATTTGCAGGTAATAAAACACGTTGATTTTTGAAAGGATCAAAATTGCTTACATATAGTATAAATATGACGACTACTCTGGTTTTTTTTTCTCCTACCTATGCTGATAGCCTTGAGAGGCTATATCAGCTTCGCCCTAACGTGTAGGCGAGCTCACGGGGCTCAAACCGGAGTGTTGCTAACACTGACCCTAGCAAGAGCAGTGCTTCGCAGAATCTACCACCGAATCGGAAACGCGACCAACTGAGAAGATCCGGCAAGAAACTCAGTGGGGTGTGTCTGTGGGAACTCTGATCATGATAATGCCAACAGAGCATTTTGAACGCTAGCCTTTAAGAGCTCGATTTTTCAATATTGCTCCGAAAACGTTTAGGAAAACTCATTACGTGTGACGTCATTTGTACAACGAGCTGACCGCAAATATCAAACGCATCCATCAAGATTAGCCTAAATAAAGATCAAAATATTTGAGATTTAACTTGACATGACAAAAATACAAAATTAATATTTGTTTCACAAAAAAAAGTGATAATGATTAATTCTTAATTTAGTTAAGATTCCCTGTAACAACTTTTTTATATATTTTGTTGTTAGTCTCTAGTTACCGTCTGACAAAACATAATGACGTCAGATATCTTTCGACTTTGACCGTTCAAAGTTACGCCTTTCAAATATTTCGTTCTATTCTACACCTTAATGTACTTCCGAATTTCACATCTGAGAAGGCGAACTTTGGGCCATTTTTACGTAAGTGGTTACCGAAACTCATTAACATCGCCAATATCAGTGACAAGATAACCCAATGTATAACAAAAAATATATATTGTACTCATAATTATAACTAGAGGATGACCAAGCTTTGTTCGGTATTTTCTTTTTTTATAAATTGTGTTTTTTAGAAATTACATTTAAATACGAATTACATATTAATAATATATTATTTGTTATTTCCTTTCAATAAAAAAAAGTTTTTGTTTAAGTTTGTGTTTAATCGTTAAAGTTGATTATTGAAAACACGAATAAAACAACATGTTCTGAAAATAAATCGTAGATAGAAGAATTGCTCGCTTAAAGTTTTTTTTTATTGCTTAGATGGGTGGACGAGCTCACAGCCCACCTGATGTTAAGTGGTTACTGGAGCCCATAGACATCCACAACGTAAATGCGCCACCCACCTTGAGATGTAAGTCCTAAGGTCTCAAGTATAGCTATAACGGCTGCCCCACACTTCAAACCGAAACGCATTACTGCTTCACGGCAAAAATAGGCAGGGTGGTGGTACCTACCCGCGCGGACTCAATAGGTCCTACCAACTTTTTTTTTCCTACCTAATCTGAGAGCTCATCAGCGTAACCACCATATAAGATATGTACGATACAAAACTTGGTTTTGTCGATAACAATACTAGCAGATCCGAAATCTTCAGTTATGTTCGCAGGAGCACAAGCAGGAAGCGCCCGCTGCTCCAGTTCAGTCGAATGTAGTATCAGACATCATGGCGACCCCGAAGAAACTGCTGCGAGCTTGGGAAGGGAGGTCAGCTGACATGCTCAAACTGGACGAGGAACTCATGACCACCAGGATCAGGGAGGTCGAGGCCTTGACCGAATTAAAGGAGTTAAGACTGAAGGTGTGAAAACTAATATATAAGATATAAAAGAGCCGCTGATACCAAATATCTCCCATCTTATTGTGGCTAATTATTCTTTAGTCACAATCGTAAAAACCGCGACCAAAAATAATGTGTTTTTATAATGACGATAAATGAATGATACGCTCATTTATGTATGAGTAACAGTTTTTTTTCTTTCTTTTTAATATTGAATATCAGCTTTTGTACGCTTTCCATTACAGGAAAATATCGAATAAACAATATTTCACTATCGATAAATGCTTATATATAGTTAGCGAAGCTATGCAAGTTTGTTCGGACGCTGTTATCTCACACTCTATATTTTTTATTATTAAACAATTAAAATCATGATAAGGCATAATGTTTAAATAATAAAATTTAATCACGTCAATGATGACACAGTTAAAATATTAAAATATTTACTTGTACAGCCAGACTGTTAAAAGTGTTTACTAAAATTTCAATATGAAATTACTTATAGCTGGCTGGAAAATGTTGATAAAAGAAACTATCACTCCATTGCCTATAAGCAACTCCTAATGAGCCCTTGTAAACCTAGCTCGAAATAGCTTTCAAAGTAATATTGTTCAGGAAATTTGTAACACGAAATGTTTATTTATTTATTTGTTAAATAGGTAATGGAACTAGAGACTCAAGTTCAAGTGTCGACGAATCAGCTCCGAAGACAGGACGAGGAAGCTCGGCTGTTACGCGAGAATCTAGATGCAGCGCTCCAACGTGAACGAGCTCTCCAAACGAGGCAGAGAGAGTTCCAGCACAAATACGCTGATTTAGAGAGCAAGGTTAATAGTCATAGTAGCTGTATAATTGAGTTAGGGATGTCAATTGTAGTCGCCCATCATAGTTATGGCCTAGGGTTGCCAGTTTTTTTTTTCAGCCTATAAGGGGCAAATGCTTAAATGGGCAAAAAAATACGAGAATTTTGTTTTTTACCCGGGACAAATAAAAAACAAAATTTTATAGCTACATTCTTAATTTTTTTTTATATTTGTCCGAGGATCAAGTCAGTTTCAACATATTTATAAAAATCAATACAATTATAATCGTACGGTTCGAATACGGGACAGAGTCAGTTCCGCCGGGATATTTTAAACTAAGCCTAAAATACGGGACGTCCTAGGAATTATGGGAAGTCTGACAACCCTAGTTATGGCACGGATTCATACAACATTGATGATATCTCAACACAGGGTGTGCTGTAAGTTCGTCTGCCTTTATATAGATTAAAAATGTTAAATCGCCAACGCTTCTCGTTTTAGATATTACCTAGTCAGGTCATAAATTCTGTCACATGTTTAATGTAAAATAATTGAAACAAGTTTATTAATTATGTAACCATTCATATACCAAAATGAACTTAACAAAACATAGATTCTTATGACACTAAAGTTTATTCAAAATGACCTCCGTGATTTTGAATACAGGCCTTCAATCTGCGCGGCCAGTCGTCTATCGCAGCACGAACGAGGTCCATGTCAATATCGGCGGCTGCCTTAATCAAGGATGTCTTGAGTGACTCCAAATTGGGATGAGGCTTTGAGCACGCCTTTTCCTCCAAGTGTTGCCATATCTTGTAATCTAACGGATTCAAATCTGGACTGGAGGAGGGCCAGTCTTCGTGCCGGATGAAGTCGATTTCACGCGCCGCCAGCCAGTCTTGTGTGCTCTTCGCTCTATGAGCTGGCGCCGAATCTTGTTGGAATACCCAGTGCCTGTTATTGAACATGGTATGAGAAACAGGTTCCACAAGGTTCGTCAGGACTGTATTTTGATACACAACTGCATTCGTTTTTACACCTTTCTCACAAAAATGTACCTCTGTTAAGCCCCAATAAGAAACTCCCAACCATACCATGAGCGAGGATGGAAAATGACCTCGTTGGACACGCGGAATACGGTTGCTCGCTTCTTCACTACTGTGTGCGTACACCTTATCATTTTGTTTGTTGTAGCTCTCTTCTACGGTAAAAATTTTTTCATCCGAAAAAAGAATTTCCCGATATTTTTTTCCCGCGTACCGCTTCAACAAAGCGCGGCATCTCTTCAGTCTCAGGTCCATTAGACGAGCATTCAAACGATGTCCTGTTTTTCTTCGATATGCCCGAAGCCCTAAGTCTTCATTTAACACCCTTTTCACCGTGGTTCTGCTTAACCCCATCTGAAGGGCCAACAGTTTCTGCTTACGTTTGGGATTTCTTTGAATTCGCGCCTTCACAGCTTTTATCACTGCTGGAGTCCTAACAGACCGAGGGCGACCACTTTTTGACCTGTCATCTACACTAGAGTCTTCATTGTATCGTTTGATGGTACGATAAACGAATCTTTTGATTATATTCAAATTTTTCAGTATGTTAAAAATTTGAATTGGTGCGTAACCGCATCGATGCAACGCAATAACTGCAACACGGTCTTCTTTAAGCGTCCACTCCATATTTAAAAATGAGTAAAATTCTAAAAGTATACATTTTTTATTTTCATGAACAATTCGAAATTCGAATTCAATAAACTTTTTTGTGGCCAGCATTCTAAAAGAAAAGTTTTTACTGTGTGACAATACTTATGACCTGACTAGTTATTCGATCATATTTTGATAACGTCGACGTTCACTAAACGAATAGCCATGGTAATAGTTCCAGAAACGACAGGAACGGCGATTTTAAATAAGTATTTTAAAAAAAAGCAAAAAAATATATAACGTACATACCAATTTTTGTTTAATCATTAGATGAATCACGAAACAGTTCTTCTACACATAAAACATTCGCGATCTAAAATCTAAACATATAGAGGGGTGAAAGACTATTTGGTTTATGCGACATTTTTGCAACTTTACAAGAGAGCAAATTAGAGTTTAAAATTTAAAAAAAAATTCATAACAAAAAATACTTCTTCACCTATTTGAATGATGGAAACTCAATTGAAGTTCAATTAAAAACATCGAATTATCGATACGAATACCAAATTAAACGGACCTTTAATTACAAAGATAAATGTCGCGTATTAAGCGAAATGTCAACAGAAACGCACAGCAGTATGGAAAATATCAACTTTTATTAAAATACGTAATTTGGGTACCACCTAAGAAATACGTTTTCTATTTTTTTATTTCGAGTCCCCAATATCTCTACTATGAGGTGTTTCAGGATTATCCATTCTTTCTGGGACACCCTGTATAAGAGAGACTGACAGAGTGCTTAGAGTATTAATGTGTATAACAAAATGCTTGCTGCCTGTTGCTGATATCTAAACCGATATTTTTAAATTGAATTTTATCATTATTCTGTTTTCAGGCCAAGTATGAATCGATGCAAGCTAACATTCGAAACATGGAAGACGCGCAAAGAATAGCCGAACTGGAGACAGAAGTGTCTGAATATAAATTAAAGGTGAAATTAGAAAAATGCTCTTTACTAATAATTGAATATGCAATTTCGAAAAGGGCACATGTCACATATTTTGTCAAATACGTTTTTTCATATACATTTAGTCTTGAGGCTCACCTACACCCACTTTATAATAATTCCAGTAATTTTCAATTGCTAATTAACACTAAAATATATCTCAAAAGTAAGTATTACACTGCTTTAGAAAATAATCAGTTTTTTTTCATTTCCTGAAAATTTTACATTTTCAGAGATGTGCCCTTTTCGAAATTGCATATTCAATTGTAAATTGCCCCAAAATCACATCCGGAGATCAGAATCGAAGAAAGATTTGTCGCGCCATTTTTTAAACAATAATTTGACCTAATTTCGGCCTAATATCTCAGAAAAACAAAAAATTAACAGAAATGAGTCCGTAAACTGTTTGTAGCGGAAAGTAAATCCAAAGTAAAGATTTACATGATTTTCTCTTGATCAAAGATTTTTTAAAAGATATGGGTGTAACCCTCGAAGATAATGATAATAACCAATGCAGATTCACACCACGCCCTATCAGTAACGAATACATAAGTATTGCATGATAAAAACAATGTTTCATAGATCACATCATTATAATATAATTGAGGTGACATCTGCCATGAACTTTCGTCAATTGTTCAATGTTTTGTATTGATGATCACTTTGTTGGTGCAACTTAATAAATAAATAAATAAATAACACATCATAAAGGATTTTCATAATACTAATAGATATTGTTTATTTTAGAATGAAGTCATGGCAACCGAAGGTGAACTAAGGAACAATAATATGGACGACTCCGACAGAGTACGTGAATTGCAAGAGCAAGTCGCCGAGCTAAAAGCGGAGGTAAAATTTTTAATGCAATTTTACGATAATACAAAATTTGGAATAACAAAAGAAAGGAGTACTAAAGAATAACCTCATTAGGGAATTCGCTTTGCTTATAACTATAACATGATGTTTTATGACGGATCGATTAATAATTTCCTTAGAATAATAAAGCATATATTAAGTGTTTGAAATAAGACTACTATCCTCATCAAGCTTTAACGTCCAGCCTTCACAATATAGATATATTTATAGCTAACTATTAATTCATCATCGGGCTTCACTCACATATAATTTAATATACACCGCTATGTTGTTCAATGAAATAAGATATAAAATTAACATATTAGAAATTTGCTGAAATGTTTGAAAATTCGGGATTTAATACTTAATAATACTCGGCGTAAGATAACATTTCCCGAATCTCATTAGATATTGTAGACATGAGTGATAATATGACCATTCGTGAGCGACAATTTATATTTTACCAATGCTTTTGCACTGCACGCAATGTAGTATAAATTGAAATCAGCTGACGCACGGAGTCAATGGTCTTAGGTTACGCAAAGGGGATTCACGATATAAGCATTTATGATACATAATTATAGCAAATAAACAATATTTTTTCATAAATTGGATACGTTTACAATTTTTATTTTAGATAATCATATATATTAATAATATTATAGGCGTAATAATATTATGGTAACTGTCAATATACTACTATACTGCTCGGCATTAAGTAGCTAAAAGAAAAAAAAAACCGTAAGAACTATGATCATCAGGCATATAGTCTTTAGCATTAGCAGCTTGAAGAACAAAGCTATCAAGAAATGACGCAGTCTTATTTCATCACTTCTTGTGTTAGTAATACATTTCTCAGCGTTATTATTCTAAGTGAAATGCTTACATTTTCTCAGTAAATAATTTATTTAATGAACGTGAAAAAATGCAATGCATTGACTACCACTTGCAGCGGAATCGCTTACAATCATATTCAAAGCATATCTACGCTTTTGTCAGCAACTCTAAAAGAAACTGGGTACATAATATTTCTAATGTTCAATCAAAGGAAAACATCACTAAATTTCTTTAACGTAAAAATCAAAATTGAACGATCGCATATATTCATAACTTCTGATGTCTTTTGTTTGACACTGCACAGTTTCCGACACCAATCAACACTCTGGAAAAAGAGCCCTGGAAATGGCTCGAGTAAGTCACCACATTGTTTAGGGCGGTGTATTAATGAGCAAAATCCTTAACTATCCGATAATAAATCTAATATTAATAATCTTTTTAAAAGAGTACGTGCGACTTATATGCTTGACGGCAGTGAAACTTCTTTGATGGTAAAAACAGAAAGAGATACTATTTACGCTCATTGCCATTGAATCGTTTCGTTTAATATTTTTACAGATAAAAATTCTCCATAAAGTCTACTTCAAATTTTTACGAAGTTCCACTTCAATAAATAACAGGCCTCAGATTAAATACGTGTTTTGAAAATATTTGTTTTTAAATAATTGAGAACATTCACCCATTTAAGGATTTTACTCGTTGATTAGTTTTGCCAAAATTTTCGTGTAATTTGTTGGGTCTGTATTCTAAATCTGTTTTTTTTTTTTTGTTTTTTTTTTTTCGTAGTACGTATCAGCTTAGAGATTTAACTGTGTATCTGTCTGTAGTTAGTTGATAAAGTTGTCTAGACTAATTCGTAACATCGATTTAAAAAAATAGTATAACTGCTCGTTTTATAATATTTACCCATATTATGAGTTTGTATGATTTGCATGATGCATGAGATTGTTTGCTTGTTTTATGATTTTATTAATGTAATGCTTCGTTAGTTTTGGCTATATTTTATCCGTGTCAATATTCAAAGACATTGAATATTTCCATCCATAAATTTATTATAGTTTAGTAGGTTAACTTCTATTTACTTTATAGAGAACGCTTGTTACTCAGTACCCGAAACGTGAGGGAAGTGAAACTTCTTTGCCAGCCGAAAGGAAGTATAGTCTTTGTGGCAATAACTTCTGTACAAAAACCTTACAGAATAAATATGAAACGACTATGAATTTATTTGCAAAAAGTTTCACTTTAGAACACAATCTATTCACAATACGTCTTCGTTTTATATTTTTAATATGAACGAGCATGTATTTAACATTTATAAATGTTTTTTTTTTGTATGTAGGCTAATATAAATTACACAATAATTGGCACACAAACGTCCTTATAATATTATTGGAAGCTTGCAGCATATCATTATTAATTAAATTGAATATAAAGACTAACAGATTAATTACCCTGATAACCCTGCACAAGGTAATTGGGTAATTGCTTGCTCCTTTCGCTTTTAGGAATCCATATGTGAATTATATTCCCTTGATATATTAAATATTTTTTTCGGCACCTACTTAATAGTAAAAGAATATGGGTCAAGATTTGCATAAAACCCTTTTGAAAGACCTCAAAGTCTAATGAGCATACGGGTCACCTACCCTACATGAAAGTGAACTGTCACTATATCTTATGGACATGATCAATGACAGAGCTACAGAAATACTTCCTTTTATCACAGTGCCAATTATTGGTAGGGTGAAAAAATGCCCGTTTTACCCTAAAACTGTGGTGAATTAAACAGATCATGAGGTTAGAGGCGTGGAAATCTCGGGCTCTCGGTCACACGGAGCTCAGCCGCGCCATATCCCTGGAGGACGATTTGGAAGAAGACGAGAAACTCAAGTTGACACTGCGCCGAGAATCTTCTACATCATTAGAATTTACAACAACCTCACGCAAACCTTCGTAGCGAATACTCAGCACAGCCCTAAAACGACCAGATCGGTATATATTTTTGCTCTTTCCATTGACTTAATATTAGAAACGGTCGCATCTGTTATTTAAATGAAGGCCTCAATCGTGGTCTTTCGTTTATGTTATATACACACAAAAGTAAGAAACGCATATGACAACATAATATGAACCGAAGCTTTTTATAACACGAGCGCCCACGATTCGTTGATTATTTAAATAATAAGATAAGACCGAATGCACTTTTTATACTACAAAAAAAATTATCAATACTGTGATATATTATTACCGTGGTTTCAGTTCTGGTATATTTAATCAACATTTCTGCTGCTGTTGTTTAAGAATTATACATTTTTATGTAAGATCCACTTAAAACTATCAATATTTTTTATAATCATATTTCATTTCATAATCTTTTAACAGAATTAAATACGACAGTTAATAAATGTGTTTTTTTACATCTAAACAGTCCGAATGCAAAGGATTCTATGATCGTTTCAATTATAATTATGTTATTTAAGCTAATTAATTATTACATTATATTAATATTAATTAATAATTTTCGGTGAGAGAAAATTGCGGTGAAATTAGCTATGTTTCGTCGCGTATTTTTTATAGTCTGCGTAGTTTTTTTTTTTTTTAATATTGTAGTAGCTAAGATATTTATTACAACGAGCTAACCGCAAACGAGATTGCTATGAAATTTATTTGAAGCGTCAAAGTATTGATAGCTTAACAAAAAAAAAACCTTTTTTTTTTTAAATATATTCTTAGCTTAAAAAATCAGACGGACTTCAAATTTTAATGTTAACATATTTCTCTCGTGCTTCGTGAACGATTTTTAACTATTAGTATGTGTCGATATGAATTTAATATAGTGAACTGTAGTCCGGGCGTAGTAACAATGATTAGTGGTTGTTAGATTTAATGATATTACTGAAATTTTTGTAGTTTTAAAATCGATAGTTTGAATAATTAACAACGTTTTATCTCCATTAACTCGTGATGCCAATATCCAAATTAGCTAGTATCTCTTTACGGTTGTAGTTGAAATAATACATCTAGATTTTAACGTAGAACTTTTTATAGATATATATATATTTTATGCAATAAACGACACATTTGCTATAACTGAAAAAAATCTGCTTAGTAGTTAGACTACGATTATCAAAATGACGCCAAAATCACTATCGACTACTTGGAAAGCAATTTTTTTTTTCTCTCCAATCAAATAAATTGAAATTAACCCACAATGTTTGTTAGTTTAGTAATAGTGCTTATTAAACATTGTCATTTTTGTTGAACATTAATTGTGCAGAACGTAATTGCTATTAAAACTGCAAAACCAAAACCGCAAAAGCACGCTTTACAACTTCAAGACTTTCACAACTTTTACAACTTGCCTAGTTGAACATTCCAATGTGAATTCCTTATTAATAATTTATTTGTAGATAATAATAATAATAATCGATTTGATCTAGTGTGAAGTTCACATGATTAAACTATTTTCATTAATCATAATTTTTACAAGAACATAGTATTTTAAATAACATAATACGTTCAAAACAGGAAGATTATTAAATAATAACTTATTTGAGATTCGCAAAAAAGCGAAAAGAAAGTTTCGTCTAAATGCAAAATATAATTATTTACTGCATTTCGTTTATTTTACTTAAGAATAAGTAAAAGCTTTGGGTGAACTAAAAATATCGTTGGATCATTACAAATCTTATCTTATCATATCTTAAATATCTTACATGTGGCTAAGACTAACCTGACTTGTTTTACTTTTCATGGCATTATAGTAAAATATTTGAGAGAGATAAATAATATTTTAATACCTAGGTCATTTAAATTGATAACAATACTATTACTGCTTAACAAAGGAATAATAACATTTAATAAAACGGAAATAAAAAAAATTAAAATATCTAATAATATATTTGTTATAACAGGAATCAGTAATTTGATAATAAATTCATTACGTAATTAGAATGTTTTTATTGTCGTGGAAAGCAATCGAATAGGTCTCCCGTGGACGTCAGCATTTCCAGGGTCACGGAACTGGGTCACTACCCACAAGGGACATATAAGCGTACGGCGGAATACCGTGTAATAAAAGTTCATTTCCGAAAATGATAGTACATGGCAGACAGAATCATATTGAAAACGCACCATGAGTGAATAAACCGGTTTCAAGCAGTAAAGTACTGTACGGAAATGTTAAAAAGGAATGACGGGAATTCGATATAATTCCTTCGGTTCAAAACACAAGAACTAGCTGTAGCCCCTGACTTTTATAACGTATTCCACATGGCTTAGTATCTTAAATGTCGAATTCATTCGATACGTGTACTAATCGTACCAAAACCTCTTGCTATAAGCAAAATAGTCTAATCGCGTTTTCAATTAACGCTATGGTTAATGTAGTAAACTAAAAAACAGTCAATTGATCGAGCTATCACATTAAAATTTTGGTAATATTTTTTTTAATAGTAGGTAATATTTTTTTTTATAATTATTGAATAATATCAGTGATTCGAACGTGTTGTGTTGGTCATAATTTAAGAATCAATATGCCCAAATGATAATGATATATTTTATGTACTGACTAATGTGATTATATTAATGACAGCTATACTTACATCCTTGTGTACTTACTTAATTTTCGAATATGACTGTGTTATTCATTAATTTCACTTACAACATTCTTGTTGAATACTCATAAATAATGATTAGTTAACTTAATTTAATTTAAAAAGATATTTTTTATTTTATTAATTTGTTTTATGTTATTAATTCTACGCCAGATGCTTAAAGATGTTTGCGAGATAATACATAATAATTTATTCAGAGTGAATTTTATGAAGAATATTTATAATATAGTAAGATTATTATATTAGTTTAAAAATTTTATTTTATAAGGTTTGATGTATTTCGCTTTACTGTAAAACAATTTTAACGAACCAGAATTTAATAGCACATTGGGATTCCAATAATTATTAATGGGCCTACGTGTACTAATGCAAGTGCAGGTATGTATGTTTTTGGGACAGCCGCGTAGTGATTCCAAATTCTTGAATACATTTTAGATAAATCAATTAAAACGCTTGGAATGCTGAAATTTTATTACCAGTATTTCACAGAAAACAGGCCAAGGCGAAGTAATTTATTTAAATATTCTCTCGACGGCGCTGTTACTATTTCTGCGTCAACACTTGCATCAGCGTGAAGATCGATGTCTTTAAATCTCTTTTAAAATTTAATCGTTTTGAAACAATAAAGAAATTGTCTATTTGCGAATTGCATTAATCTACGCACGGCCATTTGATCTATAGAGAAGTATCCTAACACCAAAAAAATTAATTATTAACTCTTAAAATTTACGTTACGTGATATAGTCAATTAGGCAACTACTATGGTCCAAACATAATGAGATTTAGGTGTGTTAAAACGTTCAAATATCTTTATTATCATTAACGAAATAATGAACAATTGGGACACTGCGATCTTACTATTTCTCATGTTCGAACGCGTTAAAATATTAAGCCTCAGATTTGAACTGAGTGGTCTTGAAAGTAAAAACGTTGATATTTTAATAGTACCTATATATTCAATTGTTGGTTTACATAGCAAATATAAACGGAGTTTGCGCAGGTTCATAGTCGTTCGAGCGAGTGTTCGTGGTTTTTTTTATGAGAGGCAAAGGTCCTGATGGCGGAGCTTCTCCTCACTCCGCGGCACCATGTCCGCGAGGTCGCTACTAGTGATGAGATGCAGGAACAAACGAGATCGGTTTTAAAATCCTACTACATCCAAATCAGCTGCTAAAAATGACTGAATCTCGTGTATTGTGTTTAATCTATGCGACAAATAACTATGACTACGACTGTACGCGATAGCCCTCGTACATATATATGTAAATACGTACGAATTACAACCGGGCTTGCACTTGCTTCGACGTATTAGGGCCTGTGCACACCACGTTTTGTAAACGCGCCGTCGATGCGCGATCGTAGCGATACCGACGCGATACGCACGCAAGTCAGACGCAACCTGTAGACCTTTTCACACCTGTATAAATTCAAATACGCGTTTGAATCGATACAGACGCGATACTCATGCGCGTTTGTACCGATACAAACGCGCGTTAACATCACGTTTGTATCGACACAAACGACAAGAAACCATTCTGTGGGATAAAAAAGCGCCGTCGACGCGCGTTTGTAGCGATACAGACGCGATGCTAACGCGCGTTTGTATCGATACACATGCGCGTTATCATCGCGTTTGTATCGATACAGACGACAGCAAACCGCTCTGTAGGATAAAAGTGCGCCGTCGACGCGCGCGCGCTTAAAAAACGTGGTGTGCACAGGCCCTTAGCTTTTCTCACGTTTGTCAAACGTAAACCCCTAGATTTCGTTGGAAAATGCCCTTTTAATATGGTTTAAAGTTCTTTAAAATATTTAGCAAAGAGTTTGTTTGCTAGTTAACTCCACTACATTAAATATTTTTTATAAACTTAAAAATAAAATTATGCCAGTATAATAATACTATTTTGGACCGTTAGATTTCTTTAAGTGAATAAACATTGTTTTATATAAAATTTAATAATAGGTATATTGTATGATGTCGGTTGATTTTGAATGTTATTTTTTATTTTGTATTAATTTTATGTCGGATCCATGCGCAATGTAAATTAAGAATCAGTTTCTAAGATCTCTTAATCACTACTGTAAGCAGCACATCATTTTATAGTTTTTTTAAAATCTAAATACCGATATGATTGTGTAGTCAAGATGTGATAAAATGCTTTAGACTACCTGGTGTATTGTTTGAACTCTGACCAGTAAACAATATATTTTTAGGACTTGACTGCGATTTTATGTATTTTCATATTGTGTACGGTAATAAAATAGTATTCATACAGAAAGTAGTGTTTTACTCATTTCCGGTATTTTTTTATAACCTTATCCTATTTAGTGCCTATAAAATTAGGTTTGTACTGTCTTAAAAACTTGCTGTCTTTCTCTCTAAATAACAAAATGTATAATCCAATCACTACAGGTTTTTTGAGCCTTGGCTTCAGTGACATCACGTGGTGTCGCTATAGTGCGGGAGTCGAACCATTGTACAACCCCGTTTCTCGTCCAGTCAAACGATACCCAATATAGAACTCTAAAAGATTAACTGGACCGAGTTGAGTTTTAAATACTCTGCAACTTTAATGATGTATCATTCACTAAGACTGAACGTCTTTAGCAGGCAGAAATATTTGATTGCTTAGTCGCTATTTAGTCGATCAAAATTTTAGAGCTTTTAAAGTGACTATCGATAATAGTCAATCAAACAGTCAAGTAAAACAATTTTTGTTAGTCATATTATTTATTTTAAGGCACTATTATAAAAAATAATTAAAATATATTATGTATAGCACTCGTATTAAATTAATACATTAAATGGTTATCACTCTTGTTAATTTTTTGATCATTCGATGGATCAAATGATGGTTAATAAATAATTAAGCCATATTTTTATATTTTGTGAACAGATTGTAAAGCACTCGAAGGGTTGACTTGAGGTCGAGATTCACGATATCTGAAATAAAAATTAACAAATCATATTTGAAATTCATAGTATATCTTAATTTACATATTTTTATTAAGACGATTGGCCTTACCTTCAGGCCTGGCTTTGGGCTTTCCCAGACCAACATCTTGCATAAGCTCAAATGCAAATGATACATTATGAACTTTCTGATCAAAATCTTGAGGTGTTAAATGAAAGTCGTAAAGAGGTACAAAGAATTCTTCAAGTAAGCCCATTAAAAGACATAAGTATACTCCGTCATGGAACTGGGTGTCCAAATCCATTACCTCTAAGTTCACTTTGCTCAAATGTTTATTCACAAATGTAATAAGTGACTGAAAAAAGACAAAAAAGAACACGAATTAAATAAATAGAAACGTGATGTTAATGGAAGATTAATTAAATAAATAAATCAATACCTTCTTAACAACTAAGAGCTTGTCCGGTGCATGGTCGAACAACGCATCAAACGCGTCACGTTCACATTTCATGCCGAGATCGTCATAAGTAGTCGTTATGGTTTCGATTAAAGTCCTAAAAAACTCTTTTATTAGTTATAAAGATTACAATTTATAAAAATAAAACTATTTAAAAACAATGTAACAAGGTTTACCGGTGAGATAGTTGGGTCGGTGTGTTTTTCTTGACGATAACAACGTTCACAGAAACATTTTCGGGGAGACGTATGGGAGCTCGGAAATGACGGGCCAGAGCAACGAGCAAATGAAGAATCGAAACAATACTTTTTGAATGTATCGAATCCACACTCCATTTTGGTACTGGTTTTGATGTACCGTACAAGACCTAAAACCAATACAACTACATTATTATAATTCACAAACAATTACTATAGTTATTATTATAATTTAGTGCAACCTTAACTAATTTTTTTTTTGCTTTAGACATAGTTTAGGCAGTCTAACTAATTCTTAGTATTTGAATGGATCTTTTGAAACGAGAAGAATATACAGAATACAGAATAGTACAGATCTTGGAGGCCCATAAGTGAACTACTACTTGTTCTCTTTCCAACTATCCCAAATAAAGCAAGGGTGCTTTATACCGCAATAGCTCTTGCTCGTTTCGTATTGAGATGTCGCTCTGGGCCTGCGCTGTGTTTGAAACTAGGTTCTGACTATTCTATCCGTACCCCTTACCTAGACGAGTGACTGCAAGACCTGCTCCAGATATTGATTATAAAAGAGAATAGTTAATAATAATGCTTACTCGATTAACAGCCCGTAAAACTATAGTCAATTTCTGGCGCTGTCCTTCTTCTGATTGAGTTACTTCAGGTACATCAAGTTTCGTCTTTGTTAATTGTTCTAAAAGTTTTTGAAGCACTTGACCGTCATAAAGATCTTCGATGATGTCCTGGACGATTATTCTCTGTGAAGCTAGTTCATCGTTGATCCAGTCAATCAAGACTTGAATCAGATCTCTGACCCTTGGATCTTCAAGTGATCGAGGTTCGATAATAGCCCTTTCTTCGTTCTCATCTAAATCGAAAGTTTAAAGTTAAAAAGTGAAATGCATGGTTTGTACACGAGAATTAGCTTTCATTTCGTGTTCGATAGTTCAAGACGTCACGCGTACCATAAACATATTAGAATTTTCTTTTTTATATGATACTTGATAAAGACCCATTCTAACTACTCTAAACGCTGTGTATGAATTTTTATACACATTACATAAGTCAATTACCTAACTCGTAATATGTTGTAGTAGAATATCTTAAGTATCCATTGAAGACCATCAAAAGAGGTAACTTTAGAAATGGACACAAAAACTTGGAAAGAACGCAGTAGAACATGCGAAGATGTTGAAATTGAAAGAGAAAGGGAGAGATTACAGAAATTGCAAGGTAAATGAAAGAAAGCCGTAATTTTCTGGGTCCCACTCTCGGTTCTTTTAGGCTCCCAAGCACTGGTCACCATTCTCGTTGAATAAAACGAAGAGTTCGACGTGCAAACTAACCCATAGTCACAAACTACTGAGTTTTTGCCAGATCTTCTCAGTTGGTCGGGATTCCGATCCGTTGGTAGATTAAGCAAAGCGCTGCTCTTGCAAGGGCCATTGTTAACTAACCCTCTCAGGTTGAGCCCGTGCGCTCACCTACCAGTTTGTGAGTAGCTGGAATAGCCCCTTAGGCTACCAGCGATCAGGTAGAGAGAAACATATTGTTGAATGCATGGAAGATAAATAAAAATTTGCAAGGCAAGAATAGTTGCCAGAATGTAATACATATTTATTCATGGAAGAGCTGAAGGAAAAATGGAGAAATTGATACATATTGTAATAAAGGTTACTGCTTTTAAGTAAAAATGAATATAGAAAAGACACTTTGCTTAAAATAAACAAAATTAATCCCTTCGTTGACTGGACATTTTCAAGGAACAAAAATACAATGAAAAATATTCATATGTATAATCAAAAGAAAAAATAGCAAGCTAAGTATTCCCTGCTGGGGATATGGACCATCCCATTTAGCTGTAATGGCAGCAAGTACCAAACTGTTTTTAGTTTTTGTTTTCTACTATTCTAATTTCACAAGGTTGTGTAATAAATGATAAATTATCCCATACTATAATACAAATATAACCCTCAAGAGTGGGATAAGATTTAATGATTATAATAACAAAAATATATTTCAGAACATAAGTGCATTTTCATAACTTCTAAATTTTTATTTTACTTACTCAAAGTATATTCTTCAGGGGGAATCTCTGGTGCGGTTGGACTGCCTGGAGAATCAATAGCATATTTCCCTTCAGCTTGTACATCTTGAACTGAAACATTACATCTTCATTATTGGTATTGCCACAAAACATTCTTAATATACCTTAGCAGACAATTTCAAATTGTTTTTTATGTAAATGGAAAAAGCTAATACCTTAATATAAATTGTCTTGTCTAAACTTTATTTAATATGATGGCTATTTTAACATAAAAACAGGAAGACATCATTGATTCACAGCAGAGAAAAGGCAAAATAACAATACAAACTGCTCACAACAGACCAGTACTCAAGATTGCAATTTAAAGCTACAAAGAAAAATATTAAAAGAAAGTTATATAGTATATTCTACTGCAGTATTCTGAGGGCAGGCTATGTTAACCACTGATTATCTACTTGGATCTAAGTTTGCCGATCCATTTAATTATATTTTTAATGATTACAATTATGTTTTTCTTTATCAGAAAACTGAACAAACATACAGTCCACATCATGGTGAATGGTTACCGGCGTTCATAGATGTCAATGACAGGGGCACGGCCAAGTCTACTACTACTACCTACTACTAGATATTATTATACCTAACAAATTCAAAATTTCTAAAATATTATATCTAAAAAACAAAAAACATTAAGCTACTGATCACCTAGTTAATCTTTATTGTATTAATGCAGCAGCATATGTTATAATGACTGAAGGCAAAATATAGTAATTATTAATCTGAGTATATTTTGCATCGGTGGTTTACTCAAGATAAAATATAAAAAGAAGCTGTCTTCAAAATACACATATGCAATCTAAATTGAGAATCTCTAAAATCCAGTTAAAAATAATTGCCATTCCAGTGTGACCTCTTAGGCCAGTTTTGAAAGGTTTCAAATAAAAAATATTTCAATTTTGCAAGAGGTGGTTAAAGCAGTAGCAATTTACAGAATTTCCTTAAATAATTTTCCTGGTGCTGTAAAACAAACATCACACAAAAACTAAAACTGAATAGAATAAAATTGTAATATTTTATAATTATATTCGTTTTATTTTTTATTCTATTATTGGCTACTTTCTATTAATGGAAATAGTTTATTTCAAACTTCTGTGTATACATAAAATTTTCTAAAGCTGTCCTTCGGTTCCCATGTTAATCATGAATTTGACATTTTAAATAAACCCACATATCAAATATGAATTTGATTAGAATTTGTAATTATACTTTACCTTCTTTAATCCCTTTTTTGCGCCCTATTGTACCAATTTTGTCCCAAAAGGACTCTTTTTCCTCTTTTTTGGGAAGCACAGGAGTACGAGGTGATTTTGGGCGTGGTGAAGACATTTCGAAATGAAAATACCTACCTGTAAATGTACATAAACTGAATTTAAACCAGAAGTTACTTGTACTTGTTAGTATAGAAGATATCTATTGTGGATCAGTATGACCTATGACTAACGTGATGCAATGTATATTAATAAAAAAACATTTATGTACATATGTACCTTAATTAAAGTACGTACTACATAAATACCTACACCTACACCAGTAAGTACGGTACCTACCGTATGTATTTGTGATTTACCTACCTGTTTTCAGTATTTTTGACGTTTACAATGTTTTTTGTCTATAGCAGTCACAGACAGATCAATCCAGACTGATTGAAAATATTAAGCAACACTAGCTCGAATGTTGTCAAATCTTTAAAAATAATACACTGGTATAATTTCTCGTGCTTTGGAGATCAAATTTATTTCCCGAACATGAATAAAATAAAATCCAAAATTTTAGTGTGAGTTGACTAAGCAAATAATTCCTTTTTTTTGTATTATTCTACCTTTAAATTATACCTATGCATGACTTTAATATATAAATGAATAGAATATGCATTAAAACGTGATGTTAGTGTCACATACATACAGCACATTAATGTGTGATGTTGTCTTTCATCCAAATCACCTATTGCTCATCAACTAGCATCTGAACCTTTAATGAGATAGAACTCAAACTTGGTAGATAGAAGTAAAACCTTTAGACTGAAATTAAACGCATGTACCTCCACGTCGTAGGTACAACAACTACTATAACCCTAGGTCAGTGAGCTGTGCGGTGTCCGCCTAAAAAGCTCTAATTAATTAAATCCCATGGTATAACGTATTTTAGAAACAGCGGAGAATATAGCGTTTCATCACCTAGTTGCTGTTGAGCATTTAGATCGCATCTTATACAGCTCTCTTCCCATGTTCCTAAACAGGCTTATAGAAGAAACTTAACACATTTAAAAAGCTAGGAGACGAAGATACTTGCCCTCTCCTCATTTCAAAATCAAAGCTAAGCAATCAACACACGATTAGTTTTTTGGTAATTTTCCTAATACTCGTGCAAGTACTAAACTCTTGTCAATCTCTTTCAAGTGTTAAAAGATCCTTCTACCTAGCACTATATTGTCTACGTACTGAATATCTCTAAATTGCTTGTAATAGTTAAAAATGAACTATGCCGAGTGTATTAGGTAGTTTTCCAATTACAGCACAAGAGCGCATTATGCGGCATAATGCTCAACTAAGCTTCAGCAGAATTCGGCATTGTGCGTCACGGATTACAGAGCATAATGCGACTCAGTGACGCACAATGGCGAATTATGCTGAAACTTAGTTGAGCATTATGCCGCATAATGCGCTCTTGTGCTGTAATTGGAAAACTACTTTAATATATTATCTATATCATAAACGAGAAAACCCTGTCGCAAAGCCCAAACGTACCTAACTAACTATTAGACTAATCTGTGCCCCAAACTCCAAACATAAAATCACATAAAAAAGTGAACTTTAGTGAAGCAAAACAAGTCTGGTTCGTATTTGGCTATTTATTACACTCAAATACTAAGTTATGCATTGCGTCTATAGTGTAAATTAACAACTCAAACCTTAAAATATTTATTAAAAATTAGATCCTTCAGTTCGAAGTAAATTGTTTTTAACAAATTTTACGAACTGTTGAACTATCAATTTAATAGGCTGAGACTGGGTGGGTAGTGTGTATTGTGTAGTCATACCTAAAAATAACTTCAAGATTGAATTACGTCACTGGTCTCACTCTTTAAGTACTTTCTAATGTGATTATTTTAAATAGTATTTGTTTACAGCTTGAACAATGGAAAAAAATGGCAATCCTCCTCCATATGTATGGGGCCAGGCAAATGTTTTACAGCCTCCGCCTGCTGCTCCACCTAGCTACTCGCAAGCAGTGGGGGGTGTAGGGCCTTCCAGCCCTTACACACCTCAGTACCCAACAAGTAAGTAAAATAAATAATATATTGTTTTTATAGGTATACTGGTACAATCTAGCTAATTCAATGTCATAAGTTGAAAATTTTGTTCCATTTGCAGTGAATGAAACTTTAAATAGCTGCAGAGTAGATAGCTGTCAAATTAATAGTAATGCTTAAATATGTGAACACACTGGGTTTCAGATATTTATTTTAAAATTTAGGTCAAGTTTTTATTTTGAGTCAGTGACATTGAACCGGTTGATCTTATTATAATTTGCATGTGTGTATCACATATTTTAAGGTTGAAATTGTTTTCAAATGTTAATGTTCCTCAAATAAGTACACTACATTAGGTATGTAAGATATATAATTTAATACATTAATTTTTACTATTTCAATTAATGTATTCAAATCAAATCAAATCAAAAAAATTTTATTCAACATAAATGAAAGTACATACTTGTTGAACGTCAAAAAACTTTTTGTAAAAGCTTGTATTTTGTAAGAGCTTTTACTGTCAAACTTAATAGAACATAAATGTCAATTCACAAAGCTAGTCTCGTCATATAATAGTGAGCGCCCATTGTGTGAGAATTTGAATTACACCATACATTGGCAAAATATTTATAGTTTTAATGTTTCTACATAATTCACTGTTTAAATCCTAAAGATCTCAAAATCAGAAGTAAAACATCACTCAATTAAATTGTATAGGGGTAATGATTAATTCAAAACTACATTTAATGTCTGTCATGAATAATATCAACAGGTGAAAGGCTATTTGCTTTAAGCGACATTTTGTTTTATTTGGTATTAGCATTAATAATTCAATGTTTTCATTTAAATTTTAATTCATTTTATCCCATTCTACTAGATGAAGATGCTCTTTTGGTTATTATATTTTTTCGAAATTCTAAACTTTAAATGGTTCTCCTGTAATGTTTGCAAAAATATTGCTTAAACCAAACTAGACGATGACCGAGCTTCGCTCGTCTTTTTTTTTTATAAAAATTGTGTTTTTTAGTACGAATTACATATTGATAAAATGATGAAATATTCCAAGATCGGTTAGGTATTTTTAAGTGAACACGTGAGTTAAAAAGTCACAAATAATATACTTAGTCTGGCCATAAATACTGTTACAATTAAAAATTAAAAAAAATCTAGTGCAAATAACATTTATTACTTTTACAATGTGTTAGTTTAATACATAAATATAAAACAATTTAAAGTATAAAAAGCTTATTCGAAGTGGTCTCCATTGGCTGCAATACAGTCCTTTAAACGTTGAGGCCAGTTATCAATAGAAGCACGCACTCTTTCCATGGGAAAATTTTTCACTGCCAATCGTACGAACTGTTTTAGGGACTCCAAATTATCATGGTGTTTAGAGCAAGCCGTACTCTCTAAAACTGACCATAAATCATAATCCAGTGGATTAAGATCGGGACTAGACGACGGCCAGTCTTCAGCTCTGATGAAGTCCGAAACGTTCGTTTCCAACCAAGACTGCATAGACCAAGCTTTATGACCTGGCGCCGAGTCTTGCTGGAAGGACCATTCTTGATTATTGAACATAGTGTTGTTAAGGGGCTTCACTACCTTCTCAAGAATGGTATCTTGATACACTTGTGCCGATGTTTTGGTAACTTTTTTACAAAAGTATGGCTCAGTCACTCCTTCATAGCTAATACCCCACCAAACCATCATTGAAGTCGGATAGTGCCCACGTTGCACTCTGTTGACTAATTGGGAAGCTTCCTTAGAGCTTTGAGCATGAATATGGTCATTTTGTTTGTTAAAATGTTGCTCAATTGTAAAAAATACGCTGAAATAGCCCCTAAGGCTATCAGCTTAGGTAGGAAAAAAAAAAGAAAAGTAAAAAATTTCTCATCCGGAAACAAAATTTTTCTATGACCTCCCTTTGCGTACCGCTTCAGTAGTTATTTCGATTTTACCACCCTATTCTCTTTTAAATTATCAGTAAAGAAATGACCAGTACGTCTCTTATAGGCTGCAAGTCCTAAGTCATCTTTTAAAATACGCGACATGGTTCTAGGTGCTATCTTCATCTCCCGAGATAAAATCTTTTGTTTTCGGACAGGATTTCTTCGAATTCTTTCCCTTACTGCTTTGACCACTACGCACTACTTTTTCGCACGAACACTACGTGGACGGCCAGATCTTTTTCTGTCATAAACAGAGGAGGTTTCATTGCACCTATTAATAGCCCGGTACACAAACATTTTACTAATACCAAGCGTATGGAGAGTTTTAAAAATTGCATTTGGCTCCATACCTAATTTGTGTAATGCAATCACAGCGATTCGGTTCTCTTTATCACCCCACTCGAGTTTAATATCGCAAAGTATTGTACAATGTATTGGCGCCAAAATGAGAACACTCAATGAGCAATCATATAAAAATGACAGATTCCAAATTCAAATGTAATATTTTGTTTATTTTTAATTGTATCAGTATTTATGGCCAGACTAGGTAAATAAACAATTTATTTTCTTGGTCTGACCTTAAACCAAACGCTCATTGGCTTCAGGTGGCTTAACAACGCCATCTGCTGAAATAGCTTTAGTGTTATTGTGTCTTTAAAGCTTTAAAGTTGCTCTCAATTATAAAAAATAGTATTATTATTCGCCAATAGATGTCGGGAAGAGTCATAAAGTTGATTATCGATAAACGAATAAAACAACATTTTCTGAAAATAAATCGTAGCTACATCGATTTATCGCCCCCGAAATCCCCTGTATACCAAATTTTATAAAAATCGTTGGAGCCGTTTCCGAGATTCAAATTATATATATATAGATCCACACTTCATCCATATATATATACAAGATTTGCTCGTTTAAAGGTATAAGATAGCCTTTCACCCCTCAATATATAATACGATGTCTGTCATTATTTCACATTTGTAGCTCAACTGTTTTTTTCATACATTAAAAAGTTTTCAAAATAAATTATTTTTCAGCAACAGGGCCACAAATTGTTACAACCGTAGTACCGGTTGGGCCGCATCCAACTCATATGATTTGTCCTAGTTGCCATGCCGAAATTAACACATCAACACAAACAAAACCTGGTCTCATTGCATACATAACTGGTGCAATTATATTCCTTTTAGGGTAAGTATTCTTTTATTATGTGTATTGTACCTTTACAATGATGGTTACAGTGTCTTTTGGAAGAAAAATAGATTTTATTGAAGATTGATTTAGATGGAATTCTTTGTGAATTATATTATTTATTTGTCAGAAATTGAAGCCACCAAATGGGATTGTTTTCTTACCTCAACTAAATTTACAACAACAAATAAACCAAAGATTTTTTTACATAGGATATAACACCTAAAAACTATATTAGTAAAAT